GGCCACCATATTGTTAGTCATCTCCTTCCCTATTAATATAGCCCAATAGTCAGTACCAGTTTTCCTATCAATCGCCAGAGCTTCCTTGACAGAATGAGGTAGCTCAACACCATACTTGTGAGTCCTTAGCCAGTACTTGTTGCTCTTTAATGCTTTGAGGATTTGTTTAGCTCTCTGCATCACCTTGTGGACCCACCACCTGAAGGCTGCTTCATCTTCAAGTTTATGATTTAATGCATAGTACTCAGCTAATTGGATTGGAATACTCTCTTTCAAGTCTGACATCTTCACCCATGACAATGTCCCATCCTTTCAACTGACAAGTATATGCCATCCTTTTGTTGTTGGCTTATCCCTCCAGGTGTTGCTAGTTGTTTGGAATCTAGCATCTTCATTGGGGAGGGCAATATCAGCATCCTTCTCATGATCAATGATTTCATCAAGAAGCGTATCAGTAAAGCCATTCTTGTCAATTGAATTATAAATGTTCTCAGCCACAAGGTTTGCAGTGTGCCTCTCAATACTACTGTCAGGGAGTTGGATGTTGTACTCCCTGGTATCAAGCAGAGGGTTTGAGTTCCTCATACCAATGGGTTTCCCATTAAGATCTTTCACTCTGTCCTTCACAACACACTTTAAACATTCATCACCAAATTTCATCATCACCATATTACCAATATACTCATCATAGGTTGAGCCATCAGGTACTAGGTTGTCCACATCTGGAATTGAAGCCTTGGGTTCAGCTGCTGTTATCTCACTGCTAAACTTGCCATCAAGGCCATCATCAAACAAACCATCAGCAGGCTCAKGGAAGTTCTCATCAAAGTGGGTATCGCTTGGATCAACTGAGTCCCTGATTTTTGAAATCACTTGCCGATTGAATTCTTCAGCATGTCATAGAATGTCAGGGTGCCTCCACTCTTCTTCACCTACCGCCTTTGTGCCATTGGTGACATGTGTTTTACAGGTCTGATGTAGAATGTGGAAGTAGTCCTCTGCACCAATGTTCCTTCCAGCGTAACCTAGATACCTGCCAAGCTTCTCACATTGATCAGCTGGGTYTTACCACCAGATGAGATCATACCATTCATGAAGACTTGACAACGTGATATCAGGTTTGTATCCATGAACAATTTTAAATGGTGTCTTGTTCATGCATACGTTATCACTTGATGATGTTTGATTGTTAATAGTAGCAACATGAATGCCACAGTAAGCCCATAATCTCTTTGGGGATCCTTTGGAAGCTGTTAGTTTCCTTATTTGCCTCCTCAAGATACCAATGTAGGTCTGAGCTCTGTTCTGCCTTGTTGGTGAATGGGGTTGAACAAATGTATGGTGAATATTATATTCACTGACCAATTTTTTCCAGCGCAAGTTATTACCAGCTGTCATTTCTCCTTGCTCCAAAGCATAATCTGAGACAAGCATTATCTGAGACAAGCTTTTCAGGAATGCCAAGCTCATGTACAAACTGACTTAAACCTTTGTGAGCAAAACCTTTACACTCCACTGGAATAAATTCAACATATCCAAAGGTTGTTGCAAAGACTTGTGCCGCTCTATCCTTTCTAACAACACTAGGAGCACTGAAATRCATTGCTACACACCTGGTAACACTTGATTGTTTCTATATTTTGGGGACTTGAGCTTCTTAGTAATAGGCTGATCAATGCACCTTCTACCTTTCTGAGTAGTGACCTCAAGTGTAGCTTGAGCTTTCTTCATACTGATCCCCCATTTCCTTGACAAGACTGCAGCATCAGTTGAAGACCATTCATCATTGGTCCCCATTCTCTTTGATGCTTCAACCGCCTTTCTTCCAGAGGTAATTCCATATCCAAATCATCTTGCACTAACCTAGGTGCAGCTTTAATGTTCTGATTAGTAGGAGCGTCCTTGTGAATTGCTGATATTGTCACAACTGGATTTGCATCAGGATCCAGTTCCACATTCCCAATGTCATCAGTCAAAGCTGGTGAGTGTAATGGTCTGTGAAGTGCATTGATGGTGTAAACAGGAGTGGTATTGCATGGATCCTTTGTGAGTGTATCACCAGAGGTGTCAGCAGATGCTTCATCTATGTCCCCACTGTTGACAGTGACAACAGCACTCAGCCTTGAATAGAGGCAACCATCAACTGCGATGGAGCACTCAGTGAGATCTAAGTGGCATTGGCTTTGAAGATATGATAGACATGCAGTGTTATATGAAGATAGGATAGTATCAACAGCATTGCCAGCTTCAAAATTAACTTCACCGTCATGTGGAACCACTGTAGAAGTAAGTGGTGCTTGGTTCCCGCCTGGATGATTCCCAGTACTAGTAACATCAATGGTCCTGAGTGGGAGAGCAAGTTGAGGCCTGGCTTCATTGACAGCGTCTTCATTAGTCTCAAATATATATGAGTGTGGGCCCCACACTGGTGAATCAGCGGTAGCCATGACATAGTCACATTCCTCAAGTTCACTGGATGTAGGCYGTCTTGAGTGGAAGCAAGAAATAACACTATTCATTTTGAAGGGGATAAACAAAGTAGTATTGTCATCAGTAGAGATAAAAGAGACACCATGTGAAGAGGCACTGTTGAATTGCCTGGGTGTGTCATCAACTTGATTAAAATTGCAACCACGGATTTGGTTTGGGCAGAGCAGACTGTGTTTGAGTTTGTGTCCAAAATACAGTGCTTGATGAAACAATAAAATCCATGTCTTCCCATCAGGGTCATCCCAGGGAGTAGCACATGTAGCAACAGCAACATTCTTGATTGAATCATAGTCAGAAGAGAATGATGACACCTCAACATGTGTTTGAACGTCATTAGGGGGTGTCAACATTAGCATATTAGAGCCACATGCTGTAGTGTTGGCAYGAGAATCCAATTCGCAAAGAGTTTCACCTGATGTTGAAGAAACAGTGGACACATTTAACTGGTAAGAGACCGGCCAATATTTCAGTTAGGAGGATGTGCTGCAGATCCAAATTGGTTCCCAATGCTGCTCCCTTGTGGTTCTTCCTTGACATCTTGAGCAATAGTGACAGACTTGGTGGCAGACACGTTTCTGTAATGTGCCCTCTTCTATTTCATCAATGCCTTGTGCTTCTTCTTCTGGTCAGGTCTAAAGGTCTTATAAATGTGCTTGGGGTAAATGACAGGTTCAATGTCACCATTGTAGGTCTTGTCACTTGAGCTTCCACTTGAGCTATCATGGCCACTTTGCTAACGGTTACTGCAATGTGAACTGTTGTGTGGCTGCCGTTGTTGTTCTGATGTCTCTTACCAGCGTGGTTGTTATTAGAAACAGTTGTAGTTGAACTGACATTACGCCACTTCATGCTCTGGCCGCAAAGAGATGATGTCAGATGCTCTGTAATCTTGATGAAGTTATTGTGATCAGGGTGATCAACATGCTTGATCCTATTTGCAGTCTCAATGAGCCTGGGGTCTTGGATAGTTGCACAGAAATCATAGCAAAAAGCCTCTTCATCAATAGTCCCTCCATAATATTGAATGATATCGCGTACCTCATACTATTTGCAATTATGAGTTTCAAATGCATAAGTTCTTTCAAATGTATAAGTTCGTGTATCACCAGTATAATTAGGACTGTTCTCCATGAAGGTTCTCATTTTCTTTAGAGTCTGTTGTYGATGTGTCTTGACATTACCMATAGTTCTCAGATGCATATAGGCCCCGCGGCCATTTGAGTGAGTAGACTTGTGGAAGCGTTGAATTTTAGAGTTATTACCATCGCCAGTCTTCACTTGGACCAAACTCCTCTGGATGACGTTGTACACTGTGTTGTTATCTTCCTTGAACTTGTCTCCTTTATGAGTAGTGCACCCAATAAGATACTCATCCCAGGACTCAAAGGCTTTACCTGCACCAATGTCAGGGTGTCAGGGACATTTACTTCATCTCACAAGACATATAACAAGGGTGTTCTAGAAGCATCTGACGGCACCAAGGTGTGCACGTAATTCACGATCAAACTTGGGGAATTCATGTGCTGCAGTTCGCTTCACAAGAGGTGGAGGCTTGGTTTGTTTACCAGTCTTGTTGATCTTCTCCTGTTGCCGTTCCTGGATAGTGCAATCTAACTTTTTATCCATTTGGTCTGGGTGCTGTAACCAATCCATAGCACACACCCTTTTTCCAAATCTAGCACAAAAACCAACCCAATCAACAAGCAACGTGAGGTTATTAAAACCAACTTCAGTCAAATGGAACTTCCTTGGATTAATCTTATTGAAGTTTGAATAGAAGCTACCAAGATCTTTGGGGCTGCAGCCACAAATCTTTTCCATAGACGACCAACCTTTGGTGAAGAGAGCTTTCACTGTCTTCCATGAAATTTCCAGATCTACCACTAGGATCTACAAGAAATTGGAACCAATTAAAGTGCTCAATATTTCCTTTAACAATGATTATCACATGAAAGGTGTGTTGACATGTTGTAATTCATTTTTATTACACTTGAAAAGCAATTCTACACATTATTTTGTCCAGAGTCAACCAGATAAAACGAGACATAGTTCACAGGCAGGCAATTAGCAACCTGCTAGTACTACAACTAGTAATACTAGAAGTAATATTTCAAAGCCCTTGTGACAGTGGCAGACACACATGACAGGCACAGGTATCTGCGGTACAACTAGGAATTGTGGGCACAGAAGTAGCAAAGAGATGGTGCTTAAGGGAAGTCATATGTAGGAAGAACATTGTCACACGTTTGAGAAGGGCAGTATGAGAGTTGCCCCTTGTCAAGTATTTTGTGAAACGATTGAGCTCACATCTGGGGGGTAGACTTTCTCGTAGAGAAAAAGGAGTCTCATCGACAAGACAATTTGTGGAGTGYTAGCGTGCCGTACAATGTTCTGATCCTCACACACCAGGGGCTTCACGAAAATTAAATAAAATGACGGAAAATGCGCCTCGTTCTTAGATRATACACGTGGGTATTTGTTTTAGGAGCTGAAGTAATATGAAACAAGATTCTATCGTTTATATTTTATTGCCTTCGTGTAGACAAGTTAGTTCTTGCATCCAGGGCATCCAGGAKTGTATCCAGGCTTAGGGTTGGCAAGACGCTCTTCGATTTCTTCACGTTCGATAAGCATCTTGGCGTAGCTAACATCCCCACGTGCAGGATCTTTGTAACCAGTCTCACCAGGGTAGTATCCAGAAGCATCAGGCGAGTTTCCTTCGAAGGTTTCGAATGGGTTGAAGTTKTTGACCGAACGAGGGGCATTGGGGTCGAACTTTTCGTAAAYGACCTTCTTGGCGTCATTGTCCCAAAGTTGTCCGTCGWACTCTCCGTATTCGAGGTTGAGGGCGGTAGATGCCCGGGAGACAGAGACAGGGGCGAAGGCAGAGGCCGAGGCGAGGAGAGTGGCAAAGATAGCGAGTTTCATCTGCGGCAGGAGAACAAGGTAATGTCAGAACGACAGAAATTTTCACGACGACAAAATCTAGTTCGTAGAGAGACCACGATACAAGTATTCGGCGAACAATACACTCGATCATCGTATTCTCCCAGGATTTCAATGATGGAATCCTGTGTTGTCCTGTGRTGTCGTACCTTGATGTACTTAATATGTTTCTGGTTTGAATTTATGAGAACKCTCTAGATGTCAAAATCCGTCTCAAGCTCAGTATCAGATGCGTTACTTTTTCAGGTTTCAGGAGACAACCGAGTTGAGTCTGAAGAAAAAATTATTGGAAGTACGTATGCGAGGAAAAACGTCCGTCACTGACGATTAGAATTCATAAAACATTTTTGGTTAAACGTACGTATGGTAGGAAAAACATCCAGACTTGTGATTTCCTCGGTAAGATTGGCATAATGTTTGTTTCTTGTGACGTATTATGACGTTTTGAACGGTTTTTTAACGTCAATAGTACATTTCGGTATTATCGAAAAATCAAACTTTCATGCAACAATTGGCAACAGAAGTTCTTCTTACGATAGCATCACAGCGTTTCTTCGGAAATCCAGATGGCCAGGATGCATACGGTAGGTACTCGTAATACAGTTGTTTTCTACGACTACGAGTACTCTTACTCAACCGGTACGGTAAAATCTTTCTCGACGTCACTAGTTTTCGAGCTGCGATCTTTGCCATGATGTCAGAAACAAGGTAAATGYACTACGTATCGTACTCTGCTATGAATACTAATTGTACTGCACCTCACTTTATTTCAGATCTGTAATTTGTATTTTGATTGGGATTTTTTTCTCTCGTAAACACGTTGGTAAAATCGATCAAAAGAATTTCGTACGTACGTTTGCGTAAACACTTTGATGTCAATCAATATTCTAACACAGTAGTGTAATTCTACTAGTAGGGTTTGGTGCTATGTGTTGGCGCGCCACAACATCACCTCTGGCAATCACACCACATCACTTCTCATCCATTAAGGAACTGTACCGTAGCACTCGTACTCGTACCGGCCAGTAAAATATTTCGTCGTACGGTACTTCTAGTATTTTTCAGGTATTAATACGAAGTAAAGCAAGTACGTACTACGTACCGGTACCGGCTCGTACTTTTATGCCTSCTGTTGATAGTCATAAGGTATTCGCAYYATAAACATGCGACCTTTTGTCGTTCGAAAAGTACGACGTACCATACCGTAGGTACCAACCGTTATGTGTGGCACGAATTTTGAGATAGGTTATGGGTGTACGAAAACTCACCTGTTTTTTCTAACTGTAGCTATCACCTTTCACTCTATTCAACTGACCTGTCTCACCACAGAGAGCTATAAGCAACACTTCCCTTCCACACAATGCACACAATCACTGGAATATCTTCATTAAAATAAGAGCAAGCAGATCAGGAAGTTGCAGATTGATWRGCCTAATGGTTTCTCAAGAAGTTTCCCGCGTGGACCAAAACAAAATCCTGCGCATGTTTTTTGATGCTCCAATACTACAGACCTTTTCCCTGGAACATGTTCTCACATCCTACATTTCTCAGCACAAATTTCATGCTCTTTTCTGGGGTTTGTACTGTTTTTTATTGTCATCGTTTTTTTTTTCTCATTGCAACATTCAGAATAACATCGTTCCAATATKTTYYTWWAATTGCTCAAAAGTATTGAAGCCAATCTATTGGTTTCCCTTGTGCCATTGCCAACATTCTTTCMCCAACAACRAAACTATGCTGTTCTTATTGATTCTGTTCCAAGGTTTCCTTTTCTTACTACTAGTTGCACAGTTTCTAATTTTCTCTGACGTTCAACAAATATCTCTAACAAACCAATTCCCCTCGTATCCCATCTGTATTATTATATTTCCATTGTTTGTTTGTTGTTTGTAACAAAATAATATTTAATTTACAAAATTATTCTGCCAGGCCTAACAATTTCTCCGCATCTTTGAAGATACTCACGTCCAACACTTCTGTGACATTGAACGCACTTCAATTCCTCTTCTTGCAGTTTTCTCTTTTTTCCTCTCTTTCCTCTCTATCTTCACCCACGGTTTCTCTATTGTCTGCCTTTAATGATGTCTCAATGGTTCTTGTACTTTCTTCTACTCTTCTTTTTGTTATCTCTTTCACAAGCTTTATGAACAATATACATCCCTGCAGGCTCCAGCCTTCCTTGCTTCTGATCCTACTGTCCGTGAATTGTCTTAGCGTTTTCTTTCCATTTCCTGAATTATTCCAAGACTCATAGTCATTGAACAAGAACAGGAGTGAAAAAGCCTTGTCCATTGCMCTGAATATTTTTGCTCACTGCTCACTGTGTTCTTGTGTCTTTTCCTCTTGAAGTTGTTTTGTTTTGGTGATACTGCGCCTAATATCTGTCTCATGAAGTACTCAAACTCTGGTGTGTTCTTTCTTTCTTCTGTACTCTGGGTTTAGCACAAATGACAAACCGTCTTTGCTTTCTGTTATGAAACATTTTCCCATGAACGTAGGTGAAACAACACCATTTTTTGTCGTCTAAACATATCAAGAAAGGAAAGAAATTGTTAGACTGAATCATTGTGCTAATGGGTACTATACATGTAGCACCTCGGTTCTTACTTTTGTAGGCTTTTCAAGCCAGTGTCTATGTGTTATGTCTGCATGCAGTTACTGCCCTGTTGATGGTTCCTGCCCAATGACTGGCAGACATTCCTAGGTCCTCTGGTTAATTCCCCCCCCCCCCCAGTACTTTCCTTTACCTGTTTTTTCACTATGTTTTCCACAATGTTATCCTTTACCAGAAATTTTGTGYGCATGAACAAAATGTTCTGTACATGGTTAGTTAGTGTTTGTTTTAACATGGTCTCTAYATGGCCCAGTCTTATGTCACTAGCAACCACCATTCTCTCCACCTGTTCTTCATTCTGTCTGACCACTTGCAACAAAGACTGTAGATGAAATTGGAAACAATTTTCTGCAATACCCATGTCAAAATAGTGTTTTAGTAGTAATAACCATTTTTCTTTTTTTAGTTGCTACTTCTGGCTATTCAAACATGTTATCTCTAGTAGCAAACTTCATTGCAAACTGGTTGTTAGGATCTTCCACAGAACTCTGCTTGTGCTGCATCCTCGTGACTCATTTCAGATGCTTCAGAATCATAATTATGCTCAGTATCATCAACAACCTCCTCACCACTTGAGCTTTYGTCCTCAAACAAAGTTTCAACATCAGATTCTAACTCAAAGGCTGCTTCAAAGGCAGATGCTTGGGACCCAACAAAGGCCCTTGGCGTTGTTGGTTGTGCTATTGTCGTTTGTGCACTTCTTCTTGTTGCTGGTTGTTGTGTGGAACATTACTGGTTTGTTATGTTGTTGAGAGGCATCAAAAGTGTTGCTGATAGTGTTGCTGAGCATTGGTGATAACATCGCTGCTGCTGATGGGTGTCAGCAATTTGTTGTTGTTGTTGTTGTTGTTGTTGTTGTTGTTGTTGTTGTTGTTGTTGTTGTTGTTGTTGTTGTTGTTGTTGTTGTTGTTGTTGTTGTTGTT